CCCCAAAACCCCAAAACCCCAAAACCCCAAAACCCCGGGATGTAAACTAGCCTTGAAGAGCATAAATTAAAACTTTGACTCATTATTTTTGAACAACTTGCACTCGTTAATTTCTGACTTCTCTGGCATATGTTCTTGGTTTATCAAGTATTCTGATAAATCTCAATTTCCTATAAGGTCTTTAGCAGATTTGAGAAGATCAAATATGCCTTTTTTAGCTCCTGCAGAAAGAGCTCTGATATCTCTAGATAATACAGTGAAAATCATTTCTGTGCCTTCACCATATACAGACTCTACTTTGATGTCACCTCCAAGCCCTTCCACATATTTCTTGCTGACTGTGAGTCCAAGACCACACCCATCAGGATTGAGACCCTCATTGTCTTCAAGCACGCCGAAGAGTTTGAACAGTCATGCCTGGTCTTCTTGCTTGATACCTGGTCCAGTGTCATGAACTCTGAACTCCACAAAGCTCTGGCCTCCGAAATCTTTCACCATCTTAGCTTTGAGAGTGATTGAGCCTTTGAATGTGAGTTTGACCGAGTTCGAGACCAAGTTCAGAAGCACTTGGCGGACTCTGTTTCTGTCTGTGTTGACTTCACAGAACTGCACTTGGTCGTCACACTCGATGAGCAGAGCCACACCTCTGCTCTGACACTGAGTCTCGAACAGAGTACAGATTTCGAGCAGTAAAGCATACACGTTGAAGTACGAATAGTTGGTGGTGAAAGTCCCGTTGTCGATCCTAGACAAGCTCAGGATATCTTCGACAAGTGCCATCATGAGCACAGAAGAAATGCTGCCTGTCTTGATGAACCTCAAGATGTTGTCGATGTGGGCGCACACTTCGTTGCTTTCAAGCACATCTCTTGGGACTTTGCCATGCAGGGCCTTGATGTGCTCGTCGAAGCTTGTTTTGATGATCTTGTACGAGTTGATGATTGCATTGAGAGGAGTTCTGAACTCATGACTTGCACTCGCAAACATCACTCTCTGCATCTTGATTCGGTTCTTGGCTTTTTCGAGGTTGATGATGTCAGTTGTGTCGATGAAGACATGCATGATAGAAGGTTTGCCTTTCCACTCCATCTTGAGAGATTTGATTTCGAAGTTTCTTCTGAAGCGGTTCTCTTCATCGAAAATTTCATCCAGCATATTTGAGCGTTTGACTGGGATGCTATAAAGTTATTGTAAGATCCAGCGGGAACAATGAATTCAATAACGTCTAGAAGCTTTGAGAGTTGATGTTCAGACTTACTTGTCAGCAGACTTGTCTCAATCAATAATTGCATGTTTCCTAAAGTTCTGGCCATTAGTCTTGTATCAATGAGGATTCTCAGTAAGAAACTGTAACAAATCTCAGTGTTCACTTTGATTATTCATGGTTTTATCTGTCTTTAAAGTGACTTTTACTTGTTCAAGTCTCTGAATCTTGCGGTTCAGAGTCTTTATTGAAGCTTCGAACTGGTTGTTTGGATATCACTTAGACTTATCAGAGATTCTCTGAGGTAGTATAAGTACTGGATGAGGAAATTCTTGCATCATTTTCGCTTTCTCTTTGACCAACTTATTGTTCTTCAAGATAATTAAATACATATCAGCTAGTCTTGACTGTTCAATATGAGCTCCAAAGTTGTAATAACTCACTGAAATAATTGCTGCAAGCAAGATGTCATTGTCAAGTTCTCCAATCTTTCTCCAAGTCAAATACAGGTTGAGCACTGTTGTTAGAGCAAACACAATAGAGTTCAACCGCCTTTTAGATGGAGACAGAGCAGTCATGAAATAAAAGGAGCAATAGGAGCATGAAAGATATCAATTCTGGTGTCCTACATAGTCTGAGACGTAGGAAACATGCACCATAATGAAAGCAGTACAGTTGATGAAGCCAAGATAAACCTGCACATAAGAGGGATGCTTGGATATGAAATATATTGAAGTCGAGGAAAATATGAAATATACGAAAGTAGCAACCAAATGCTCATGATCTTGCTGCGTCCTTGACGGCTTGAGTGACTACAGATGAACTTCTAAGCTTACTTTGAATATGGTGAGTAATATACTTAGGAACATCAGCATGATTGCAGACTATATAAAAAGAGAAGTTAAAGATATTTTATTCATAAAAAATGCAATTTTTTGGAAAAATATGCTTTTTAATCAATGTGTTACAATAACACCTCAATTTAGCAAAGAAAATCTCTGGACATACAAACCTGAACTAAATCCGAAACTTCAAAGACTTATCAACCTGGAAGAGATAATTAGGTTTCTTAAAAATATCGGTACATCTTATTGGCTTAACTTAACTTGAGTTCTAAATTTTTTAACATATATTTTTACTTAGGCAAAGCTATACCGTAAAAATAAAAATGAGTGAAGGCTAATGAAGCCTGTGTTTGAAACCAAAAAGTCTTAGGTTCTCCTACTTCATCCGGAAATAATAGATTTTCCATAATTTCAGGCTTTCAAAATCTAACTAAATGTACTGACATTTGTCTTCTTTGACTTCCTCTGAGGTGGCAGGTATTGACCGAATAAGTTCCAGAAATTTTAGACATATTCTGGCTTGCTTCTGATAAATTTTAGTAAGCTTGTATACACAAATGGAGCTCCTAGAGGCCTCCTAGTTTATGAATTTGGGCGATCGAAGAATGTCGGGAAAGATATGGCTCAGGCTAAGGAAGATGAGTGAAAAGATTTTATAGAAGGCTACATTCTGAACGTATTTTCAGGAATTTCCATTTTCATATCCAAATTAAAGGGGTTAAATGATAAAAATATGAGAATTTGGTCAAGTGTACAATGGCTACTAAAGTCTTAAATTTTTATGCACTAATTTTAACATTGAAATCATATAGGCTCTTCTTATGTTTCTTTTAAAGTTTCCCAGTAATAAAAACTAAGTTTGAGTAAATTTCTGTCCCAATACTCAAGTAGAGTTGCGAATTTAAATATGATTAAAATGTACTATTTTACAGACATTATTACAACTAAGAGAATCCTGCTTTCCCAGCCAAGTTTATACTTAATCATAATTGCAGAACAAAAAGAGTGACTAAGACAAGCCTAATTCTCATTTATCAAACTTAGAGTGCAACTTGGGCATAAAATATTGACTATTTCTCAGATACCTCTATCTCACAATTCTATTAAAATCCAGGGGAACAAAGTTTGTTATGCAGAACTAAGCGTATAAACCCTACCTTCTTGAGGTACTCAACTGCAGACCTATTGAGCTGGTCTATCTCTTCTACATCATAAGTGCACGAATCTTACTTTGTGGGAGTTGGGCTTCTAGTTTTTTGAACCTCTTATCTGCTTCCCAGAACTGGAATAGCATCTTAGGAAGTTTCATGATAAACCATTCAGCTTCCTTCTCCGTTCAATCTACATGAGAACTTTTAGATTCCGTTGAGGAATCTATATTTCCTCAATCTCATCTTTCCTGTTGAACTTGAAAGAATGACTCCTATATCTCTACAAAAGTTATGACATGAACCCTACCTTGAGAGATACCAGTGAGTCTTCATTATTGCTTGCTTTTGTTCTGGCAAACTTCATCTTAATCTGTAATACAAATACTATTAATCATTTTGTGAGAGAAAATTGGGGTTTTGGGGTTTTGGGGTTTTGGGGTTTGGGGGTTTTGGGG